AACTGTCTAACACCATCTGTAATAATGAGATTACTCTATAACCTGAGGAACAACAGCTTCTCACTCATCTAATTTATGCAATGGGACAACTTTGATCTAATGGACAATGTCAAATTGATATCTAATAAAACAATTAAAGAGCAAACCACTAGCATTTATGCTATGACATTCACCAATTAATTTATTCTTTCACCACCGACATGTAAGCTAGCATCCTTTTACAACAGTAAACAGATAGAACAATAAGAAGTTACCACACAGAACTACAAAAGATTTAAGTGCTATTTGTACAGAATCAAAATTAATACCTCTCCCCAAATACAAGGAAAACACAGAGGCATTTCTCCTTTTCAGTCCATTGCAAACAAGAAAAAAAAAATGCAGACAATATTGTAAATTACATTCAAGATGTATTTTCCTAAAGTTTGGGAAACTTCAGGAAAGGCTACCACAATATCCTTTCATAGGCTTTTATGAAGCTTAGTGTTGTTACTGAACTTGTATAGCTCCTGGGGGCATGCAGTACCATCATCTTTCTGAAAACATACAGCCTATTTTTAAACATAAAGCAAAGTCAAGAAGGACAACTACAACCCTAACTTTTTTCATGTTTTGTGTAGAGTATGACTAAATTCAGACCCCCAAATCAAGCATAACATCCCTCAACAAGCATTACAAGTAATTTTCGGGACTGTCTCTTGAGATGCCATGATCTGATCAGTAACTTTCTAGACAGATTTTTTCTAACTACATATAGGAAAGACTGAAAATACATGGCCATCTATTCTCCATATCACACAAAGTACTAGCACAAAAAAATACACGTAACAGAGCAATTAGTCCCCACAGACCAGTAGGGCATCTAAAAACAATTAGCTCATGAAGAGGAGTTTTTTCATCTATTATGCCCCAAAAGTGTGAAAATGCATTGAGATTGTTTGAGACAACACTCTCCAAACAGTATCAACCATGCTAATTTTGTTGGCATTCGTATCAGAATGTACTGTGGTAGCAGGTGGCTGAGAGACCAGCTCCACTACTTAACATCTTCTGCCAAAACACTATAAAACCACCAATTTAGAAGTTACCTGCTATTCAATCCATCTGATTCTCCTATCTCTCCAACAGCTGAAGAAAAAGCAGGTATGACTCATGTATTTATCCCAGAAAAATCTTAAGTGTCTTTTCACCTGCTCAGTAAAAGCTGATTTTAGAGAACACCAATGTCAGGGGCAGCACTGTGATACTGAACAGCTCCTCACCCCTGTCATCCAGTAATTTCCTGAGGGGAAACCTGAGTATCACATGGATGTAATATATTTGTCCCTAACATTTAAGAATGCAAAAGGGTATTGGGAATGTTTAAAATAATTCCTCTCAGGAATCTGCACAGCAAGTCACAGCACAAGGCTTTAAATGATGTTTGTCATAAACAGACATCCACATCAACTCCCCTCAGGTTCATGAGAGCTCAGAGTTTTTACGAAGCTTAGCACATTAAGTTACGCTTAAGGATTTTTGCCTTTTTTCCAGTAGCGTCCCAGAACCAGACTGTGAAACCCACATAGCATTCCAGCACCCACCTCCCGTTCATTACCCAAACTGCCGCATTTTCAAACGTGCTTGCCCAGAAAGTTACTACGAGCTTAAACTTAAATACAGAGCAGGCAGCGCTCCCAGACGCGTCCACAGACGCAGCTTACTGCCAAGGAGAAGGAAGCACCCCGGGACTGACTCCTACGGGGGCTGCCAGCTGCCTCTCAGGCTATCGGCAGTTCTCAGACGGCGGCGGGGCGGCCTCCCCCGGGGCAGGGGAGGATGTCGCCGAAGCGTTTCGGGAGCCCTCCCGGTCCCCGGCTGCGGGTCACTCACGGTCTCTGGAGCGGCTCCTCGGGGATGGCAGCCGGGCCCTGCTGCTGCTGGAAGGAGCGCAACGACTCGAAGGCCTTCATCAGCTTCTCCATGGTGGCCATGACCGCTCCGCCCGCGGCACCGACCCGCCGCGCCGACCCGCCCTCTCGCAGGCACCCGGCGGCGCCCGCCTTCCTCCTGGCGGGCCCGACGACTCCTCCTCCTCCTCCTCCTCCTCCTCCTCCTCCTCCTCCTCCTTCTCCTCTTCCCCCCGCCCCCGGCCCCGCTCTCTCCCGCTCGCCGCGGCCGGCCGAGGCGCCGCCGCCCGCTCACACCGCGCCGCCCGTCACTGCCGCAATGAATGAGCGAGACGCCGCAGGGGGCCGCGAGCGCTCCCCAACCGCCCCGCCGCCATCTTGGATCCGTCCCATCAGCCCCTACACCGCTGCCCCACCCCCCCGGGAGAGAGTCTTCGGCCCCTGGCCCAGCCGCGCTGCGCGCATGCGCAGACCGCACCACCCGGCCCGGTGTCACGCGCACCCATACGTACGCACACGCAGAGTCACGCGGACCAGGTAAGGGGCGGGGCAGCAGGGAGAGCGACAGGCTCGCTGTCCCATCAGAAAGAAGGCTCCACCCCTTCCCCAATGGGCACCGCCAGGGTGCTCCCACCGCGGCTGAGCCGGGATGGGGGGGGGCTGGGTCCTAGAGCCCGCCGGCCGGTCGCACCGCAGCGCCCCCTTCAGGGCGGAGGCGACAAGGACGCCCAGCGATGGCGGACCGGGGCTTGACCGCGCACGGACGGGTGGCGGGGCCCGAAAAACGGCCCTCGGCAGGGAAGCCCCACTCCCACCCCGCGCTCCCTACCTGGCAGGGGCTTCCCCAAGGAGCCAGAGGGGAGCCTGCTGCCGCTCCAGGGCGCCAAGCGCCTGCCGCGCCCGCCCTGGTAGAACCTGAAGGTGCCCTGAGGCGGGGGGAACAAGCCCTGAGGCGGGGGGCACAGGGACAAGCCCTGAAGGCAGCCGCACCCCCCGTCCCCCCAGCGAAAGCACACCCTCCGTCTGACCGTACCCGGTAACCCCCACAGCTTCCCCGCGCACCCCTCCAGCCCTACCCCGGCCCCTTAGGACACAGGTGCTGCCCCCATTTCAGTTTTATTTTGGTCTACATGTAGAAAAGAGGAAACACTTACAGGAAGAGGGCACTTAAAACTTGGCAAGGTACCCGCTAGCCTTTCAGCGCTCCTCTTGAGATTCTGGATTTGCTTCATCAGAGAATACTCTTAAAGCACATATTAAACATACAATATACAAGACAGGATACAGTATTTAAATCCTTGATTCCATGATTAAGCACTTTTTTTTTAAAAAAAAAAAAAACAGCAGTAGTGAACTTTCCAGTTATAACCACTGATTTTAATGTAACAGTTGCTGATACACATTTTAAATGATAGCTGGTAAGAATGGGCAAATCAGCTTCTCTCAAACACATTACCTTGTTTCTAGCAACGGAAAGGAAGAACAGCTCTTGGAACTTTTAAGAAAATAAATTCTCAGTAATGACATAATATGCAACTTGGTAATTGCTAGCAGGGATGGACAAAAGAAGCAAAGTCTCATCTTCAGCCATTCAGACCAATGTAAGCCATGACAGAACCATCTTCCTGATAATATTTTTGCCAAATATTCAGTAAAACAGTGCTCTGCAGTTAACTTTATTAGCATGTTAATAAAAGATGACCCATTTGAAACATTCCTCCAAAAGTAAACCTACCTACAGTGCTGAAAGAAATTCAACTTACAGCAAACCCCCTACTTCATCATAAATGTGTAACAAAATGGGAGCTTTTAAGGTAAAAAATATTTTTCCTGGTTATTTTATGATGAAGTATGCTGAGAGTTTTCTCTGGAACATAGGGATGACCATGAATTTTTTTAGCAAATGATACATGAAAAAAAGATGACAGCGTAGCTGGAATGCTGCATACACTGTGAGAATTGCATGTACCACTCCACACTTTGAAATAAATTGAAGCATATTAAAAGAGCATAAGCTCTTATCTAAGATTTAAAAAGCCACTAAGGAAGACGGTCTTTGCAAACCTGCTTTGAAGCTTTAGATCAAAATGTGTACCAGTGGCCTAAGGGTTGCTGACTCACCAGCAGGAATGCCAAGGCAGTGCCTGCCCACAACCACACTCCTCTTTGTTCTCCCTGTCTTTCCAAATTGTACTGGCAGTGCCAGCCCTCTGGCTCGTTAGTCATGAGTTGGGGGAACTGGAAGAGAACTCAGGGGTATCAGGTTTTTCTTTGGCAAGTACCTTATCAGTAGATTCTCTCAATTCAAGTTTACTGATCCATGGTTTTGCATGTATCATGTCACTGACCCTGTTCAAATAGCAGCCCCACAAACAGCTGCACTGGCAAAAAAATAAAGTATAAAACTGGCAAGGGGCAAGAAAAAGCAGGCAGGGTTAGAGAACAGGCATTTTTGTAAAGCCATCATTACCACAAAGAAAAATTAAGTCAGAATCTCAATGGAGTAACAGTGAATACTTAAAAGGTTTTGGTGTAATTTAATGGATGATAATGAATTCATCTCAACCTCCAGAAGAAAAGAAGAAACATGCTTTTACCTTGTCTATAAAACAGACATGAACTTCATTAATGTGGAAAGGTTTCCTAGACACAGGCTACCTAAGCATGGGTTATCTCTTGATTTAACATTTTTAAGGATAGGTTGGATAATCACAAAGAACATTTTTTCGCTCTGTCCTGAAGTCACATGTACGCCAGCATTTCTGCATTTCCACAGACAATTCAGTAGGTAACTGGTACTACTCAAATAATCTAATAGACTTCATTAAACTGCAGTCCAATGTAGTTGAACATATGCATAGATAATCTGTAATATGCCGTAGCACAGCAGTATCATTGGTAAAGTCACTTAATTTGAAGCTGTTTTACATAGAAATTGAGTCCTTAGCCCTTCAACTTATGTCATAAAATGACAGTGGAAGCCTTTGCCAAAACAGGGCAAAATGTCAAAAATACAAGCAGCCTAATGTTGAAAAGTATATGATATAAAAAAACCCAAATCCAACTAATACCAAGGTATAAATTCTCTCAAGGAAAGTGAAGCCTGGTTAGTTTCCTTTGGCAATAGTATAAAATTTAATATGCATTATAAGGCCAATGGCAAGTAGAGGTACAGCTACTACTGACCAATCTTTCATTCACATTCATAGTGTTATCACAGTAAATGTGTTCATGAAAAACAGCCCATCCCAATAATTCTGTCTTTTCACATAGAAATTTATGTAGAAATCATGACTCAGACCATGAGATAAGTTATGTATCAACTGAGCAATACAACAGAGCTAGGGCACTTTTTCCTGGATCTGACAATCTTACATTGGTAAAAAACTTACAGCATGTAACACACATCTTCTGCTTCAACAAATTGGAAATTGTTTTTTCCGATCACAGTCTTTCTTTTATCTATCCCAGCTACCATGACTGACATGGCAAATAAATCACATTGGACAGTAATACATGTGGTTGAGATATGTGGCAGTGTTTTGCTTTTATTTCTGGAACAACAATGCCAGAACATCCAGGAAAAACAACAACAGTTCAGTGGTTTGGAGATACCGGAACTAACACATCATATTTAACAGTCAGCTTCACTATATTTGGAAGAATTCTGGTGGTTTGGACACATGTGGAACATGAGAGAAGTTACCTGTATCTCCTGCACAATGTAAGTTATACCATAAGAACAATTATGAAATAAAAAAGAATTGTACATTCAGCAGAAGATAGATCATCATCACCAAAATGAGCCAGGCAGGTTATTAAAATCAAAGTTAACATAAATTTACCTTAAAGATGCTTTCCATTCATTTAATTCAATTTTTGGAATACTTCTTAAAGAGAAGTATTTTCTGAAAATCTATACTGAAGTAAAGGGGATAATTTCAATGTTAAGTTAGTATAATACTAAATTGTAAACCAAAGCAAAATATATCACTTCTCTTGACTTATTTTAGTAATTTGTAAACAAGTACTCTTCTTTTGTACAAATGGCAATGAGAAATTTCTTACATTAGTATTGTTTGAAAAGTAATTGAAGTGCAATCTAAAAATGGATTTTTAGTTGTTTTTAACAGCTTCTATCATTGATTTCTCAAATTAGACATAATTTTATTCTGAGATGGAGACAATTATTTCATAACTAAAAACCTTCAGATCTATTGTTTTAAGAATTATCTGAAAAAAAGACAGACATCATCTTCTATTAAAGACTAAGATTTGTCAATAGCGTTCTCTTTGTTACAGAAATACCATATTTTTTTCCTATTTATTATTATACAATATTTTTAAGTGCTCATTTTTTCAACTGAGACTGTTTTGCTGTTATAATCTAGAAACACAACGCCATCTCTATTATGAACACTGCACCTCTGGGAAAAAAAAAAAAAAAGCTGACAATCTTTTTTATAGAAAGAGAACAACCCTGAGGCATGAAGATTCTATTCTGTTGGTCACAACATTCAAAAGCATTAAGTAAACCAATAAGATACTGGTACACTGTTTCACAGTTTCTGAATTTTGAGATATATATATATATATTCATGAAGTATGCACAAGCAGACATTAAGACTTACATACACAAATGTTTGGAAACACAAGCCAGAGAAAAGGAAGGTTGATCTCATGCAAGTAACTCTACAGAATTCCCACAGATCTTTCCATATCTTGCACCAGTAGCACAAAGCAGTCAGGCTGTTGGATTGTCTCACTTTAAATACTTCTAACACACAGATCTAGAATCTGAATTCATGGAGGTATAATGAAGTCATAGTGAATGACAAGCATTTACCTTGGCTTTTTTTTTTTTTTTTTTTTTTTTTTTTTTTTTTAACAGTTTAATGGAATAAAAGGCTACATAATCAGTAAACACAACCTGCTGCCCTCTCCCTTCTTTAACTCAGTTGTGTCCTACAAAAACCAAAACCAAAGTTCAGATTGAATTTATCACACCACAATATTTTGCTTTCAGGTGTTCTCCCCTCTCCTTACTCTTTCTTTGCTTTCAAAATGCATCTCCAAGCTACTAATACTCCAGTAAAGACATTTAACCAGTGTTAGTCACCTTAGATTAAACAGCATAGCATCTTAATCTCCATGTACCGTGTAAGGATAGATATGCTGATCCTTCCAGTTTCTAATTCATTAAGGGGTTCACATTACATATCTAGTCATTATTATGTGGTTATATTTCTAGCCAAAAGGGACAACTTTCTAGTAGAAAGGTGCCATCTTGAGCCTATTGGATAAAAAAAAATACCCACAACCAAAAAAAACCCCAAACCAAAAAAACAACCAAAAGCAGCAGAATTTAGGTCCTCATCCTGCAAATATGTAGTTACTCAAAACCAATTTAATAGTATTATTTAGAACAGAAGAAAAAAAAACTTGTGAATTTAAACTAAATAAAGATTCATAAAAACAAACAAATCCTCCACTGTTTCACGCGGTTGGAGTTCCTTGTCCAAAGAAGTAGATGCATAAATAACTACTTCTTAGGAACAACTTCCCTTTGCTCTTCATCTAGCCTTTTTTCTTCACAGATCCCTGCAGAGTATGTGTTAAGTCTCAGCACTCCAAAATAGACGAGTGGGTTTTTTTTGTTTGTTTGTTTTTGTTTTTGTTTTTTTTTTTAAAGTTAAGATCCCTCCCCTCCAATATGGAAAGAAAATTTGAAATGCATGATAAATAGACTTTCAGATTTTTTTATGTGTTAAAGACAAGTCCTGTATTTTCTTCATAAAAAATTGCTCAGCTTGTGTCCATAGTATTCCTGCCCAAATTTCAAGTTGCTCTAAGCAGGCATTAAATCCAGACTGTCACCCCGTATGTTTACTGTTAATACAGTCACCTTTGCCTCAGACCAGCAAACCTAAGATCTTAAAAATTAAACCCCTTAATCAGAGAAACACAGTAACTTCTTCAATCAGGTAGGTATTTATAAAACACTTTTGTTACTTCCCTATTTCTCCATTCCCATCTTTTTAGAGTCCTTCTATTCTTGTGGTACATAATAAAGAGGGTCAGGTCAGACTATGCCAGCTCATTGTCTCACACATAATGGATCCAGCCAACACCCTTGCTTCAGATATTTTTCTTTTTGTCAAGCCTGCCATCCCTTCACTATTGCATCAGACTATCTTCCAGTAATTCATTCAAGCTCCCCCTCTGCCAATTTCTCCCTTTGTACTTCATATGGCAGTGGTTTTGCTGTCCTCTGTGCTGTTTTAGACATTGGGAAAAATGCACTGAAAACACAGGAGAAGACACTCATTCCTCACTTCTGTGACACCGTAGTCAAGAGGAACAATTTCAGACAGACACCAGCTCAGTCCCAGTAGGATTCTGTAACACACCAGTTTTCCAACTTTTTAAAAATTCTAACCCATTAAAACATTTGTCACTAGAGAAAACGTACTGTAAATTAAAACCTGATGATAGGCTTGAGTATCAAATGTATCTTGTGAGTTTCTCAGAAGCAGCTTAAGTTTCTTCCAGTGGATCTGCAGATCACAAGTGGAAATCTATTTGGGGTAGAGGGATATTCAGTTGCTCTGTGTGTATAATACATGTGTGGTCTGGTTGGCACCCTAGAGATCTGAGAGGAAAAAAAATACGTGCTCAGTGGAGACAAGTCTTCGAAATACAGAGCAAAATATGTAACAAAAGTCATGTCTCCAAGATCAAGGGCATTCCACTAGATTTCAAGTCCCTAACTGAAATTTTGAAAACAGGAAAGGCTCTTAATGAAGTGTGTTCCCTAAATTCATTCTCATATACAGATTAATATTTTTACCAGAAACTTTAAAAAAATAAAAAGAAAGTCTGGCACACTTTGAGTGGAATGGATGTCTGACAAACTTTCAAGCAGCTGGAAACAGTTTTACTAATGAACGTCAGGTAACCGTAACTAAAACTTCAGTAACAGCTCCACATCTGCATTACGCAATCATTAAAGGCAGGTTTTAATGTTTTAAGTTTTTAAAGGTTGTAAGGAAAGAGTATTTACATAATCAAATATGATACTTAATACTACCTTGTCCCTCCCTCAGTGGCAGTGATTGCTGTCAACCCTATAACATTGCATATTACAACACAGTAAGCAGAGATGAGGTTAGTAAGAAGAGCCCATGCTTTGTTTTTTAACCCATTATAAAATGATAACATCCTACATTGTTGTAAACAATTTCATTTACAGAAAAAAACAATAAGGTGTCCCCACAGGTAAAAAGAAATCCCTTTAGTAAAGACAAAGTACTCAAAATATAGTTATAAAATTTTGGCATAGGTCTACTTGCATGGTCCATGCCAAGAGACTGTAAGAAAATACAGTAGGATGAGTAGAAAATAAAAGAATGGGGTAATATAGTTTGTTACAGGATTAAGCTAAATATTCAGAATTCCCTATATATAGAAATACAGAAAGATATTATACAGAGCCAAACAGTAAAGAGTAATTCATAATAGCTGGCTGCAGTGCACTGAATTCCTTTTTTTCCTTAGCAGTTGCTTCAGAAATACATTAGTTAATAGCACTACCATGCTGCCAGATAATACCAGAATTATGAAATTTATCAGTACAGCAATTTTACTGTTAAGAAAACTGCTAATAAAGATCCTAACGAACAAGAAAAATTTTACCAGGAGCATACAAAGTCAAGTTACATTGATGCCATAGATATTATCTCTGCACTTTAAAATCCTTTTAGTACTTCTAGATTAATTCCACTGGGGGGGGGGGGGGGGGGGGGAAATCAAGATAAACCAAATACATACAGAAACACACTCACTCAAATGGCACTCATTGCTTTTTGTACAATTAAGCTTTAGTGAAAATATACATCTTAAAACAAATGAAGTACAAATGTACAAAAATCCTTGAACTCAGATAAAAAATATATATAATACACTTTGCTACAGAGATATAAAACATTTAAAGTTTGCTCATCCTTTCTGATGAGCTTAAAATGATTTAAAGTCTGGAGGACTCCTGCTCATCATCACTGCAATCAGATTTAAAGCAGACCTGCAACAGAAGACAAAGAGACAATTCAGCTGCAGAATTGACACTACAGTTGGTTTGTCTGCTTTGTGTGGCACAGAAAATCTGGGGGGGTGGGTCTTTTTCCAGCACATTTTACTCCATACTAACTAAATGCTTCGGGAACATCAGAAGGAAACCACAACCCAACCCGAAATCTCAAGTCATTAAAGTTTCACTTAATCTTAAATTCTTACCTTCTTCTAACCTTACAGGACAAATAACTGCAGTGTTACTACTTTGAAACCAACTGAAGGCTCTCAAGCCATATTAGTTTTTTTTAGGACTCTTTCTTAATATATAGAACCATACCTTGGGATAGTGTGAACCCTGCTGATTCAGCTGGAAAAGATGACAGTAAGACACAAGCTTTAACTTTAGCTAAGTAGTACATACACTTAACCATTCCTTCTATTCCATTACTGTAAGTGGGGGAAAAGTGAATTTGAAAAGGTGAACTAAAAATGACAATACTATTATACATTCCATTAGCACTGTACCATTTTAGAGAGGTGAATTACTAGCTGATGACAAAAAATATCATCATGCAATTTTAATAGATGGCCCTGTTGTGGCTACTTAACAATATGCTCCTAGCAATTTTAAAATTCCATTTCTGCTTGAAAGCAAAAGTAATTTCTAGAGAAGTGTTCTCTACTGGAATACACTCATGCTTCTCAAGGTAATTCCGCTCTAAGTGCAGGCATACTGAGCAAGCAGAATTGTGTACAACATCTTCAACCAAAAACCTTTACGAATAGCCTACTTCTACATGACCAGTAAGCAAGCACAACATGCTGCATGTCCTTTAGGTAGTAAATACTCAATTCATATACCTCTAAATGTTCACCAAAGAATAGAAGTTATGTGTGTAAGAAAAGGCTGTGCATTATCAGCTATGTAAAAATATATTACGTTCTTTTTGTTTTGGTAAAGGCATTAAGCTATATAAGATCTTTTAACATTTGTTTTGTGACATTTCTTCACACTCATTCATTTAGGAGAAATTTTTACTTATTTGCTAAATACACTAGAATGATTTATTGAAAGCCCAACTTTCTAAAGGAGCAAGTCCTAGGAGTTGCATTGTTCCACACTCACTTCTGAGTTCATTAGTCAATTTTATTTAAGTTTTTACAGAGGGCCTCAATTATCTCTGAAGTCGTCTCCCCAGAAGTTTTTATAGAAAACTGACAAAATATGTAAGGAATAAGACTCAAATAAGTATCTTTAGGAAAGCTATAGCACAGCTATCTATAGCACATCTGTTAACAGCACCCACTACCTTTTCACCAGGTAATAGCTAGCAAACACCAAAGAAACACAGAATACTGAGGGAAAAAAAACCTTCAGAGTTATAGGGGTTGCTATAGTTTCTGAAATGCAATGAAGGGGAAAAGCTGTAATAAACCAGATCTCATTAGTGTCAGTATTCAGTGTACAACTTGTTTTTCCTATCACAAAATAATATATATATTAAAAAAAAAAAAAAGGATGTGAAGGCCTGACTGGCTGTTTTCTGATGAAAGAAAAAAAAATACCCTTACCTCTCCACTAAAAAGTCTGTGAAAGAAGCCTCTCTTTGGTTTAGGAGACCTCTCTCTGTCTGGTGACACAGTACCATCAGTTTCATACGCATTGATATCTTCAAAGCATCCTGTTTCAATCATCTTTGGAACATATGAAATATAAATTGAAATACTGATACAAGCCTCTCAAACAAGTTCCACATATTATCTATTTTTCTGGCTGGGTACCCCTAACGACTTGCAAATTCATCAGTAAAACCACACCACTCACAGAGCTCCATGAAGGCAGGCACAAAGTCTGCATTAACTCTCCTTGTGCACCCAACAAACTAAAGAACAGGAACGAGAACACTAAGACGCAGTTAAGTACTTGGATGCTCCCTTGCTTTGGGAAGGAATTTCTTCTGCCCGTGATACAATCAAAAGTTTTTAGAACCAGAAATTGATCTTCCTTTCATCTATTCTGCTCATTTCAGAGCAGTTTAACCTAATGAATATAGTATATCTATACCCTGGACTGAACTTAATTAATAAACATGACATTGAGTAGGAAAAATGATTATTCTATGCAGAATACTAGTACCTGCATAGTATTGGAGAGATACTTTTTACAAAGTGGACGAATTGCATTCTTGGGGAAAAAGCAGCTGATGTCTGACCATAGTAATTTAAACATCATTCTGGTGTTTTGCACAACCATCTATTAAAACACAACTAATGTATACCATAATTAGGAATAAGGCAATGAGCAAGAGAAGGTAGAATTTCATCAAAAAGACCCCCCAAAAAAATATAGTGAAGACTGGTCTCTGGAGAGAAGCGAGGGATGTTGAAATAATATGTGTTTGTGTACACAGAAAACAAAAGAATTAAAAATGTCATTAATGGGTGCAGAAAGGGCAGCAGAAAGAGTAAATGTCAAAATGTAACAAACAGGCATGGTCAGAAGGGGGTAAGTGGCTAATGCCTACATGTAGTTGGCATTTATCAGTGAGTGCCACTGATACACATCTATCATAATGGGCATGCAACCAAATGAGTGTACCCTGCATAGCGAGAGAGGGCATAAAGAGGAATAAGAAGAAATGCATCCCACTTTTGTTGTAAACAATGACATTAGGTAAATTATGGGAGGGAAGGAGGAATCTTGAGACTGAGAACGAAGATTTGAGTGAAAGCTCAGTAAAACAAATTCAAATAAAAAATAAGCACAAATGTAAAACGAAGTCCGTAGTTATCTCTTGAAGAGAAGAAATTACCATGACCAGACTTCCACAACTACTTTCAACTTTATCCCTCTATGTGGGGTTAGTTACTAAGCTGCAGTGCATTTCTTAATGACTGGACCATAGTCTGAAGTTCAGAATTATAACAAGGAAATATTTATTTCTCCAACTGACTAAGGTTCATTGCTTCCTAGTGAAGACTTTCTATGTGAAAAGACACCTCTGAAATCTCCTTCTTAATGTAACGCAAAAAAAAAGCAAGAGAAACAAAAGGGAATGTACTTTTTGCTCTGAGTTGTTCAGAAATTGCTCATCTTTTGTGTTCACGCGTTAAAGGAAAAACAAAACACACTGGGAAGGAAACTACCCTAGCAGAATTCAAGACAATACTAATTTCAGAAAGTTATGAACATCTTCTAATAGGAGGAAGGCATTCATAACAAGAACTACAATTTTAAATAGTTATTACTGAGTACTCTTCCTGAAATAAAGAGGATTTAAATTTCCTAAATACAGACTGAACTGCATGCGGAGGTAACAAAATTCTAGTACTCTATGCAGAGTACTAGAATACTCATTCATTAGGCAGATGAAAAAAGCTTTAAGAGAAAGTCTGACTCAACCCATATTGAACTGTTTGTTTTGAAACCTCAGAAAACCAGATTTTGCAGTTCCCTATTACTATGTCACTTAGATATTCTATCGATATATGGGCATGATATACAAACAGCCTGCACTGCTCCTATTTGCTTTTGAATACTTTGAATAGTATTCTGTCTTATGAACAACAATATTGAATAACACGTGATAGAAGAACAGAGAAAATGTGGTCATACTGATGCTATTGTTCTGTATTTATGATGACAAGATGCCAGATTCTATTTATGCAAATTTACCATAGCTCTCAACTTTTAGCAAGTTGATTATGTTTTGGGAAAAACTTTTTTCTGAAGTCTCTCACAAAGTCTAAAGCAGAAACTTCTGTAGATCTCACAGAGAAAGTTAACACTATAATTATTTCCCTTATTAAATCTTCTATATTGCTGTGCTAAAAAAAATAATCTTTTATGAAACATATAATACCTCATTTTGCCAAGGGATTGAGACACAACCTGTAACAAATTTGGAATAGAAGTCATCATCTGTAGTATCCAGGTTCACTCCTTTTACTGTTGAGAACTGCTCTATATCCAGGACATCTTTACAATATACGGCACGTGGCTGCAGTACAATACAAGAATGCTTCATTAAGGTTTTGGTGGTGGTTTGGTTTTTTTTTTAAATTATTATTTTTATTTCCTAAATGAGTAAAGAGGGAGTGAAATGTCTGAAATTTTAGATTTCACATTGCTGATCACCAAATTACAGTATACTACAAAACAGAAATGCAAAAACTTAAAACTCTTCATAAGGCACCTGAGCAATTCCATCCATCCTGCAAGATAAGAAACATCAAAACCAGAAAAAGCATACAACTTCTCTGAATTTCTTAATGGTTGTCATAATTCATTCATCTTCTGTCACCCTCCTTTCAACTCCAGAGTAACTTCTTCAAAGGTAATCTTCATTTGTTTAGCATCTGAGCTATGGAAGTAGACTTGTAAGAGCTAAGAAATCAGCTATAAAGCTCCATAGAGCAATACCACTATTGTAAATTGTTTTGTGATCTCAGATGAAGTGCCACAAAACAACTAGCTGTCAAGAGCTACAATGTCTTTCTTCTGCCAATTTAACTCCAAAGGTTTCTCTGGAGTTCACATGATCGCTGGCACAGAATTATGACAGTTCTTGCCTTTTTAGATACTAATCAAATCTGTCTCACCTACTTACATCTGGCAAGAATGGAGGTTCTAACATGTTAGCTTCCAGCCTCTTGAAGTTAATATTCTTGAAAATAGGATGTTGCTTTACAATAGCAGCTCCATCTTCAGTGCAACCCAGTCGTTCCCCTGGATTTTTAGCAAGTAACTGCAAAATATAGAAAAAAAGGCTGATCCAGTGATATAATCCCATAATAGAAAAAAATATATTAGAATCTAATCTATATGCAAAGTCTTTCAAGTAAGTTTGTTACTTGGCCTTTTATTAGATGAAATTTATCATGGTATCAACACAAACTGGAAATCGAAACATTCTGAGAGGCAAAAAGATTTTCAGTAGACAAAAGACTTCCTGAAAGCAGACAATTTAAAAATTGTATCCAGGGTTATATGAAAATATTTTAATTGGTGCCACACTGAATAGATTTTACAGTACAGACTGAGTAGACTTTACTTTCAGGAAACACAGACTTTTTTTTTTTTTTTTTCCCAATGGACTTAAGTAATGCATAAACTAGTAAAGACAACTTTTGAAGCTTTCTGTATAGATGTGCCTCATTAAATTTAAGAACATGCAAGATAAAAAAAAGCTGTTGTCTCATACCGTGTCTTTTAGGCAAGAAAACTTGTGTACTACTATGCCATTTTTCCCCATGCAGTATCAAAGTTGAGCATGCTATTGTAGTCCGTCTATAATTACATGTGGTTCAAGGAGTACTGGACCTTTTCATTCACATGATGAAAAAAATCAATTTATGCAGCCTTCCTTCATCTTGAAAAAGTTCCGAATTCTCAAAGTTTGATAACTGAACAATTAATGGACAATCACAAACTTTCATCTGAACCACAGAAAGATTTAAGAACTCCAGCTTTAAAAAAATTTTCAACAGAAGATGTTAAAATAAACTAGTTCATCTCTTAAAAAAGATTAGAAATTTATTTTTCAAACCTCTACGTCTCTTCACCCACCATCCTGCAGATAGATTTTGCCTCCTCTGAAAACTTGTCTGAGTATGTTTCTTGGTCTTCCTTCACTCTCCGGTCAATCTCATCCCGTTTGACCCTTTCCTTATGCTTCCTGAATGGAGACTGTCCTTCAATCATTTCATAAATCAAGCACCCAAGACCCCACCAATCTGGGCTGAAGGTATACTTTTCATTTTTGAGCACCTCTGGAGCTACAAAACAAAACCAAAGAAACCCCCATAACAATTCATTTTAAAGTTGACTAATTAAATATTGGAAAAAACTCTCAGGTACTCTTTCGACCGTACAGAAATTTTTGCATAACTTCTCTGTATTTTGAAGAAACATTCATTTCTACAGTGAGGACTCTTATTTATATCCAAGAGAAACACTTAAGATCAGTGTTGTTTACAAACTGCAAATGAAGTTCTTCCAAAGCATGAAATGTGTTGTTATAGTAATTCATCTGTTTACCTGTGACCCTAAATCTTGTCTGAACCTCAGAAAAAAATTAGGTGCTTTCTTCAAGTTCTACCTAAAGCTAGAATGTCTAGACTTCAGTTTTTAAGTTTATCAGTAGGTTTATAATTGACTATAAACACCTACCACCACATATTGTAACCTCTCTTCCCATAAAACGTCTGGTACTAATCCAGGCCCAATACAGTTCTCTGGAAAAGTCATTCATATATTCACAGAAACAAAGTATCTCATCAAATGTAACTAGCAAAGGATGCTTTACATACCCATGTAACCAACAGTCCCAACCCGTCCTCGGACAGTTTCTCCTTCTGGAATCTGCACAGCTAATCCAAGATCTGAAATTCTGATATGTCCTATTTATGTTAAAATAAGTTATACATAGTCAGCAAATAACAAAGTGTCATCATTTTTAAAATAAAAAAAATTATGTAGCATACTTTATAAAAAAAACCACCCCAAAACATCAGTACATTCATATACCCATACCACTAAGTTTATTTAACTTAATTAGAAAGGATTTATCATTATTCAACTCTTCCTTAAGTGTGTAAAAGGAAGAGAGGCATAGATCCAACTGAATTCCTGAAGGTCATACAAAAAAAAATTTGCTCAATACTCTAATTCCTAACTTTGGCACAGGCTATTACTCTAGGACAAATAGAAATGATGACTGCTCATTTCCAATTCTGTATCTATGCATCAGACACTTGTAATTTTCCATTCTGTCCTCCCGTCACAAACACTTTGCTTTCTGACTTCCTATCAATACATCAGAATTTACTCCATTTATTCTAACTATGAGAAAACTGTAGCCTCTACTGACACATCAGGTTTTCCTCTAAGTACCCTAATAATGCTAAGCACAAGTAATTGCAATTGCTATCCCCCCTCCCACCTCAAATTAAAAGCAGCCTTGCCATAACCTACTTGAAGTTACTTATATTGTAACATGTCAGTTCAATATTAGGATTTCCCCTTCTCATGCATCAGTCTAATGTAGCTAACGGCTTCTATTTCACTTTATTAGCCAAACTTTTCAAGTTGACTACCTTTCCTAATTCACATGGCATTTACAGTAGTGCCTACAATGTATCAGTCATCAGGTGGAAGGCTATAATTTATCATGAACAGCACTGCTCAGATGGCGAAACAGTTCAAGAAGGGCAGTGGGAGTAAATTCACCTCACTCTCCCTTGCATTCCCGTGGATAGATACAGTTCGTTGCTGGACAGACTCAACAGCAAATGATTAGACAGTTCAAGCTAAGAATTGTATTGACACGATTCCAATTTAAAAAATACATAAGGTACTTTCTTAATAAAAATGTAAAAAGCTAAACAGAAGAAAGGATGATTACATTTTCAAATCAATTTTAAAATAGAAAATTGCCAATCATGCGCAGTAGAAAGATTCAGGGCAAAAAAAGTCAAACCCAACCCCACACTTATTTCTAATACAGCATATAAGGACAGGGACACTGTCATTTACAGAAACATTACAGATTCTTCAGGCTGAAGAGGACTTCAGAAGGTCTCTAGTACGACCTTCTGAGCAAGCAGTAAGACCAAAGTTTTCAAGGCTTTTTAATTCTTGCCCAGAAAGCTTCCAAGTGTGGACAGTGCATCACCTCTCTGGGTAGCCCATTCCAGTGCCTGAGTGTCCTTTGTGCATATATTCTCTCTCCAATGTCAGTTAATAGCATAATAATTTCTCATTTACATGTGACAGATATTCAAGGGGTGGGGAGAGAAGTGGAGAAAGTCAAGTGCCACTCGATATACTGGTTAGAAATAAATAAATGCTCTTGAGCAGCAAATGCTATTTTAAATACATTCAGATGCTCTTCTATTCCCTGACATTTGATGAACCCTTTTCAAGTGCAGGATATGAGCTCCTGAAGCGATTTTTTAATTAGCCCCCTCTGCTCTCTGGAACAAGATCAGAATAACCCTGGCAGAGAGAAAGCATTCTAGTGCAGTCCTGAAAGGCTACATTTTCTGTCAAAGAAGCCTTCAGTTTTTGCAAGACATTGCTGGAAAGAAAAATTAAAGAATGCATTTGATGTTTAGCAAAGCTTTAGCTCTTAAAAAGGGACTTCTCCCAAGGATCATCTTTTATACAAATTTATCAGTCAGAACATGCTGACTTTAAAAAAAAAAAAAGTGTTAATGACTTCAAAACCAGTTTTTCCTTAACTAAAATACTCAGCAATTATAAGAACAAACTGGTAATATGCATCCACAGCTTAGGAGGAGGTAATTGCTACCCATGTTCTACAGTGAATTAAAAGGATTCTGATAAATTTCATACAAAGTCATTAAAGAAAATTAATTTGGCTTCTGCAAAAGAAAAAACTATAAACATTTCTTCATATTGTTTGTACTTCCTTGATTCCTTCCAGCCACATATGCATCAGTGACCATCAGACCTGTTTAAGTTGAAATGTTAAAACAAACAGAGATGCTTCAGATTTCTTTTCTTCTTTATTGCTTAAACATTATAGTTTATTAAGTAAAATTCTGGCCCCACATCTAACATTCCATCTTTCCATAATCAAAGAAAAGACAAACAGAGAACAAATCCATATAAAAGTTTTAGCCATCAAAGGGAGGGGGGAGAAAGAGGAGCAAAAGGGGAAAAGTAACCATTTTAAGGTAGGAAATTGATCCCTCAAACATCATCATTGTCATCCCCTTCAAAGACCCAGTGTTTTCCCTTAATTTCTAAAAAGCAAGGGCAGTTTTTTCTTTATTAATTAAAGTTAACATCTGTCAGTCAGGTATATTTTATCATGAAGAAACCCCTTTGATTTCTAGCACAGTATTAATTAGATTAATTCCCAAGTTCAAAATTAATTTTAATTTTTACTTACCACAGTCATCAAGGAGTATATTCTCAGGCTTCAAGTCTCTACAAATTAAACAAAACAGAAATGTGAATTATACAAAGGCAAAATGATTAGCCATCATCAAGTGCAACTATGGCAACATAAGACTTCTTGGCTCTGATTAAAGCAGTTTTTCCAGCTTCCACCCACATATACAAAAAAAGTTGTGAAGTTGAGGATGTATAATACAATCGTTTAAACACATAACTTGAGATCCATTTTTTCCCAACTCTCTAATCCATTTATATTAACAGCAGCAATTCATATCTCACAGAGAAGAAACCTTCTCTATACAACACTAAAATCCTGGTATGAAGAACCACCAACTTACACCCAAATTTGTCCTCATAAGTGAAAGATTTCTCCTGAGAGTATCAGTCATACAATTCCACGACTGTAAAACACAGGAGTGCTTGCTGCAGTTTGATGCTGATCCCTTGCTATATTCCACCCCAGGGTGTCACAGTATCAAAGACTAATATTCTCAAGACTAAGCATAGGCTTAGTATCATCCATTCAAACTCCATTCCTTTAATTTGGACATGCAGATTCTAAAGCTTACTAGACACTTCATCTAGCTAGGACTCTTTGCAATCAATTTCCTAAGAGTCTCTACTACTTTTCTGTAAACATCAAATTCTCACATGAAAATGTTTGTAGCTATTAAATTCTAGCAAGACTCGGGAAATAGTAAAAGGGCAATTAATTCACTGTTGCAATCCTGCATTTTATAGGCATCTTCTTGTACATTTTTACTTGAAGAAGGAAAGAATAAACTCAGTGGGATATTTGGGTTTCCTACCACCTCAGGGAAAACTTTGGTAGTCACTGAAGCTGAATCAGAAGTTGTTTAGAGGTTACTTTTAGGATGCATTCTCTAGCAGATTCTACTGAGATCATACACATTCTTATATACATATAAAATATATATATATGTGTATAAAAGACGTATTGCATGTGTTGTACATAACTGTGATATGCATCAGAAAGTATGTGGACTGCAATAGTCTCTTAAATTTATTCTACCATAAATATTGTATGGCCAGAAATAGACAAGCAAAAAATCAGTACTTAGCTAAAGATTCAGTTACTATTGGAACAGATTACTGAAAACAGTAAGTACATATATGGTATATATATGGGTATATGTACAGTTATGACAAGAATAATTACTCTTATATGAGCAGAAAAGACTGAATAATGTAAAAGAAGCAATTTTAGGAAGAATGACTCTAGAATATACACGCACACATTTGTTCACCACAAAATTGTAATTTTTTTTTTCCCCAAATACTGATAAATTGATGCTCTGAATTATGTGTATTCATGTTAAAATTTAATTATTTCATGAGATTAACTGTATAAAAAAAGCAGCAAAACACTTTGCTTCTAATACCTTTAAGTCTAGACAGTCCCCATGTTAATCATTTCAAGTTAGATATGAAATTACAACACCAGAGAAATCAGGAAAGGTCAGAATAAAAAGAAAACAAAAAACCTCACACCAGTATCAAAAAAGCAGAATAAAATTCAGCCCAAACTTTAGGTAGAAACACATCTACTCTGAAGCACATAATGCATGCTCAGGTTAACTCAAGTAAACAAGTTTAAAGAGTTCCATCTCCAAGAAGGCTGATTAAAGCCTAACCTAAGATGTAATACTTACTAGCAACATCTGCTGCTTAATAGAAGCCAATTCTTTCTTGATGTGATTTTGGTCAGTCAATAGTAAAACTTGTTTCTAGCTCAAATTCCATCTCTTGAATGCTCTTAGCAGTTTGCAAAGAAGTCAGCTTTTGGAAGCATTCAGCTATAAATTCTACATCTCGGTTGCTAGCTCTGGGCTATCAGCCTTCTCCCTCTTCCTTTCCTGCACCATGACAGAGGCCAAAGTCACAATTTCTGATGGAATGCACAGACGCTAGTCCTGCACTGGATAAGACGCTACTTGAGCTGAAACCCAAGCTCAGAATGAGAGCTACCAACGCAATTCCAGCAACAGAGCAGCAGTTTTACCTTATGAAGCACAGAAAAACCAGAGGACTGCAAAGCTCACATAACTAAGAGGTTCATTTAAAATAGTTAAATAAAAACTATATATTTATTTTAAACTAGACTAATCAAGCACTAGTCTGTTTCTGCTATAACTTACATCAGCCTTCCTACACAGAAAATTTCTGGAGAAAAATCCTTCCAGGTCTTTACTGTAAAGATATCTACTCTGAGCATAGGCATGAGGCAGGGTAGGAGCTACTCGGGTTTATCCACTACAGCTTCAACAGGTCTTTGAGCCTGATCTTTCACCTTCCAGGCATATTCAGCTGCGCTATGGGCACCTACATGAGTCTGTGAGTAAAATCTAGGTGTTCAGGCAGCTTATCTGATAAAAAAACACTACCATCCTTGAGCAGTCAGATAACTCCTGCAAGAAAACTCCAGCAACTAAGTCCCTTTTGGAAAAGCAGGTGCTTGTTCCCCACTGTCTTATGCAAATCCTGACTTTGCTCTAAGTATTACCAGAATTTTTCTGTAGCAGATGGATGAACAGCCTCACTACTACATGTTCTTCTAATGTCAGCAACGTATGGTAAGTTACAAATAGCTCACAAGCTCCCATTGAACAAGCAAACAGGGCAGCGCGGGGCCCTCCTTCCAGCTCTGCACCTATTCTTTTAATCCAGTGGGAACCCCACTAACAAAATGGCACAACTGACTCCAGGGTCCTACAGACAGCACTAATGCCACTGCTTGAAATTAAGTAATAATTGGCATAAAGACACACGAAACACAGTAAAAATTGGTGTGAACAGAGAGGAAAGTTAGGTCTAGTTTTTCTACTTTATGAGGCACTTTGCTACTGATGGCAACACATCCCAGATATAATAAAGTTGTAATTTTAATTTGACTGACTTACATTAAAACTGCCATTCTAGAACTGAACAAGCTGACATGATTAACTGATTTTACTGCTATCTGCTGATACCTGTCTGCACTCAGGATTTCTATTTTCAGAAGTTCTGAATTTCCCTTCTTCCATTGCTTCTACAGTATACTTTATTGTAAATATACAGATGGGTAGCCAAAAAAAAGTTCTCAAGAAAAAAAGAACTGCAGTAATAGATCTTGAGATACGGCAACAAGAAAAAGAACTAGGTCAAATTTCAGAAATTCAGTGGTTCTACCAGTATTAAATGCTTTCAAAATGACACCAAAATAAGAAAAACATCCCGTCTGTATTTTCTTGTCCTATAGAATGAAAAATAGTATTTGCCATAATTCAGAAAAATAAATCATTGAATCAATGAAAGTGTCCTTCCTTATGTTCTCCCCACCACAACATTAAGACTGAAGGCTGCCAGCATAACTTCTTTGGTGAGAATGAAACAATTATGGCAAATTTTCCCAAGTTTCTGTTTCACTAATCATATATAATCCCTGTATTGCTGCTGAAATGCATTTCCATTAAGATGCCTGATAGAGAATTTTGATCGTGTAAAATATCACTGTAATTGGTGACATTCTGAAGACTTCCATAACCACCTATTTTGGCTTCATGTCCTGAAAACTGTAAAATTTAAAACCGTGCTCCTAAATGCATGAAACAAAGAAAAATACATATGGAAAACACAAATCAGGTCCATCAGGAAAAAAAATACCACTAGCAAGAGACAAAACAAGACTTTTTTTTTTTTTTTTACAAAAATTTGATCATTCAATATTAAAAAGCACAGGGCTGAAAGAGAGTCTACAGAGAAAGTAAAATTATACAAGCATTTTGACAAGGTATAATTAGAGTCACTTTTTATTTGTTTACATACTGGGCAGGAACTCCCTTAGTATGTCCCATATTGAATTGTTTAAGTAACACCTTCAGGTATTATGATTAAATTTAAGCCCTTCTTTTTCCTCCGAGCATAGAAATTAGTCAGTTACTAACACATGTACAGGTAACTGTCTCTTGGTGCTTCATTTTGTTATGAATGGACTAAAAATAATTCCCAGTCTTTTAATTAAGAGGTAATTTTAGTCAAGAGTTGTGAAACCATTTTCCTTGCTCATAAATGTAAAGCCATGCAAATTCTTAATAATTGGAAACTGATTATGTAATAGCACAAAACAGGGCAGAAATCTAGACACCAAGACCACTCCAGAAGAAACCATTACCTCCAAAATCTGAATTAGACAGAGAACACTAGGATTTGACATGTGTTTGAACGTCTTCTTGTAGGCAAATAGCTAACAAGTTGGTCTTAGAGGGCTGTGGGTTTTTTTGGCTGTTTTTGTTTTGTTTGGGGTTTTTTGGTTGTTTTGTTAAACAATCAGTTTTGTTTTCACTTGGTCAATGTGAAATGACCTATTCATAGCTGATCAAACCATTCATCCTTGCTTCCCTCCTACATGCATGCCAAAATACATTGTGTAACACTGCAAGGTTGGCCAAATCCTTTAGGGAACCACATACAACAACCAGCATAAGCCTCATTTACTCTGTGGTTCTGCCACTTTCTGCTGTGTGTGGGGAGGGAAAGGACTAAGACCTATTATATTAAAGTTAAGCAGGATTATACTTTAAATATTCTTTGAGAACAAGTAGTACTTGGTGTTACACACCAGAAATATAAAGGAAGTATTCTTGGTCCACCACTAAGTTTGTTTTGCTTGTTCTGCAATACTAATGCATGCCAGGAGTTAGTTAAATGATATATGTGCAGAGACAGAAAAGAGCAGTAGAGCCATACAATCTCAATTACAATGCATAAGGCTTCTGATAGTTTCATTAATTCAAAAGCAATAAAGTGTTTATTGGAAGAACCTGAAATAAAAGCAGAAGAAAGAGAGCAATATGGATTATAACTGACTTTTTACCCTCTTGGGTATAACAAATAATGCAACAAGGGACTTCTATAGGCTTCTGTGAACTTCTACTTTAGAGTGGGCAGAAATACAATCCCCTGTTCCTAAAATTTACTGATTTATTTGAATGACTAATGAAATAAGACTAGTAATTATGAAGGATGTGCCATGAAAAGGACAACAACCATTTTTTTGCTTCTTTTACTATGAAGTACAAACTTGTTTTAGTAGAAAACAATTGATACATTCAATGCTAAACAGACATGGAAAATTCAAGATATGAATAACTGTATATGACACTCACCTGTAAACAATTCTCTCCTTCTGCAAATCCTCCAGACCACAGCACAGCTCTGCAGCATAGAAAATAGCCCTTTCTTCATCAAAGCCAGGATTTCCCATGTTATATATGTGAAACTTCAAATCCCCTCCATTCATTATGGTTAATACTAAACACAGGGCATCTTTCGTCTCATACGTATAGGATAAACTAACCTAAAAATGGGGCAGGGGAGAATATGACCATTATTCATTCATAAACCCCAATGCAGTTCACAGCTTTTTTTTCCAATACAAGCAACATATGAATCCTTTTTTAAAACAAAAAAGAACAAAACAGCCAAGTAGAGTATCACCCTTGTTGAGTACTTGAAGACACAAAGGAAATCAGAATAATTTGCATGTGTACACAAACACTACATCACCATACAAAAGTTTAGTGACATATCTGTTTAGATACCATATATAGCTCCACCCAGATAATACATTTATTGATGACACCCCTCAGCTGCACTCTATCTATATTACTTTGTAAAGATAACATGCGCATATACCTTATTTTATTAATACCTCAGGAATTATGCACTGTCAAACTACCTTCCTGAACTTCTACAAGACTCAAAGTTGCCCTACATTAGAGAAAGTAAAAAAGTTGCCTGAGATCAATTGTGTAGTTTCTGTTCCTCCCTGCACCTGCCCCAGATAATTGTATATTTCCCTGGCTTAGAATTTGCCAACAGTAAAGACTTATTATAGCTCTTTATAGTCTTTCTTTTCACTGTATTTGGAATGTGGTGCTGATAGGGAAGGAAGGACACCACTTTTTTTTTTCCTCAGGTTTCAGGTAAATTTTTTAAAGTGTACTTAAAGTTTCAAAGTTAATTTGTAAATTTAAAAAAACCCAATTTTAAAACTATATACTGAAAAATTTAACATATGAAGTTTGAGTAACAAACTCAGTTTCAATAGAAAAAGCTATGCTATGCTGATGATGATCTGGCAGGATCTAGAAAATTACCTCTAGAGATTAACTAACTTGTACTAAAAGCAATGGGATTTAAACATATTTACATACTTACATACATACATACTTACATTAGGTAAGTAAGTTAGGAAAAATCCGAAGGATTTTTTTGACTCGATAGATATATTTTTAAAAGCAGTACAAGTACATAAAGGTCATAATTCAGTAATAAATCCAAACTTTTCTTTCAGAAGCATAAATCCAATATGAAATAATAAAATTAAATAAATATACAAATCAGCTACTCAGGGCAAATGTTCCTGTTTGATGGTTTTAACCTGATGTATCACATGCGTGACAAATTATCTACCTACTTCCAGTCCAGTATTACGGCAGATCCTAGAGCTAGATCTTCTCTGTTCAATTGAAATAACATTGGATGGCAAGAGGAAGATAACTTATGCTCAACTCTATGAAGTGATTTACAATCAACTTTCATCAATTATTGATTTATAGTATTTACAGATGTTAAAAAAACATTACTCAAAAATAGAAGTTCCACTTTTATCTCATGTATCCCTACAACTAGTAATTTCTAGGTCAGTGCAGGTAATTTCTGGATTCAATTTCAAACAATTCAAGCCCATGAGCCCTGTGAGAAAATAGCACTAGCATATTTATACAAAAACATTATTTATAGCCATTTAAAATACATTAACGTACCTGGCCAGCAGGTTCTTATTTCTTCTTTTAGCTGGCAGGTTTTTTAATACATAAAGCTCATCAGAAAATACATACATATATATTTTATATATACATATTTATGTATTTATAAATAACTTCTACTATCCTCTAACACAGGTACTTTAAAATCCTCTCTGAACAGCAGTACAAAATGTATCAGTAAATGGATTTAAAAATCAAAGCAAAACACATTTAAAATTAATATTTAAATAACAATAATTCAATGAAAAAATAAACATTACCAGAGGGGAAGGTTACCTGATATATCTTTGATCATTCTAAGTTATTTCGCTGTTTAGTAATTAGAGCTACTAACAGACCATAATTTACATGATAGCATCATGTTAAAGTATTAAGACTAAGATTTTCATTCCATGGAATTTCTATCAAAAAGTTACACTAATTGTTTCACATCCAAGATAACTCTGTAAGCCTTAGTACACAGCACATCAGTGTAACTAACCTGAATCGATACACTAATAAAATTTCATTATTATCTTGAAATATTTAAGCAATAGAGTAAGGAATGCTATGAAGACACCTAAGAATATAAAAACTCTACTATTAAAAAGTCACAGAAATGCAGGATATGGAACTTTTAATGGCAATTAAATGGCAGACTCTTAGAAGTCATCCCTTTGTAAATGCATTTATGAATGACCTCCAAAAATGAAATTAGAAATCAGCATTAACTATAGGAAAATAGGCTTATGGGAGAGAAGAAGGGGGTAAGAGAAGAAAGCAGAGGGCAATGTATTGGTAGAAGAAACAGAGAAGGAAAAAAAATAGGAATTGAATAAAGTAAATGGAATATCCTCTTTAATAAAGATAGGCAAACATACTCAGAGGCTGCAGCAGAAACAAAATTTAAGTGATTATTCAAATCCAAGTCCTAAGAATAATCTATTCACCTTTAAACAGAAGACAAAGGTTCAGCGGCATCAGCATGCTAAAACACAACCTGATGTTTTGGTTGTAAGTGAAAAAGAAAGCCAACAGACTAAAACTAACTCAATATTGGATAAAAAACATCCTCTGCACAGAACTACTCACAATCACGCACAAAACATCCTACTTCTTATATCAATAATCTTTCAGTCATCATACATTCTCTAAACCAATTTAAAAATGTCTTGTGCCCACAAGCTCCTAAAGGACTGAAATGAAGCAAACTAAGCAAGACAAACTTCTAAGATCAGAAGCAGATACTTACTACAAACCTACTATTCACTTTTTCTAGAATTCTTTTTTCATTTAGAGCCATTGATTCTCCTTTCCTCTTCTTTATTCTCTTTTTTTCTAGCTTTTTACAAGCATACATTTTTCCTGTTGCCCGTACTTGACAGGCACACACCTGAAAAAGAAGGAAGGTGTGTCAGAGATGCCAGTATTATTTTAGGGTTATTTTAAAGATGATAGATTTTTATTTTCTTTTTTCAAATCTGGAATGCTCTCAGAAAATTAAGGTCTGTAAGCATCAATACCGAACTTGCACCCATGAAACAACTTTGAAGCGTTACAACAGCTGTTAACAGAAGTAGAAAAAGTGATTATACAGGAGTAAACCCATTTTTGCTTGGTTGAATAGTTCAATAAAACTGAATCTTGTGTTGGTAAAACACATGACTGTGGTAACAGTGTATGTCTAGGCAAAGAGGACAGAGAACAAATATCCACACCTTAATCAAATGGAAGAAAGATAATGATAATTTAGTAACCCTCCTTCCCCTTCAATATAGGGCTCCAATTAAAAAATGTAAGGGGAAAAAAAAGTCTGATGAATTATAAACAGAATTAATAAAACCTGTATTTTTTCCTAGCAGGTTCATGAATATCCCACATAATTATTAAGTAGAAAGTACATTCTCATTGCCAAATTAAATTTCTAAACAGAAGCAACTGTTGTCAGTCAGTGGAAGTTTTCCCCAACTTTGTGCATGATCTACAATGCTGAAGCTAACACATTAAAAGAAAACAGTTTGAATTGACAATAGTTTGCTAGGTGATGTGTCAAATGTAGATTCTTAGAGTCAAGAGTTAAAAACCTGCTTCTCCTCCATATTAATTTTTTTTTTTTCTCTTAAGGATTGCCTTGCAGAAAGATACTTCTGTACTCACCTCTCCAAATCCACCTTTGCCTAGTACTCGGTAATGCCTAAATGTGTGTTTGGTTACGGGCTGCCTGATTAACAGAAAGAAACAATTACTGCAACAGGAATTACAAGAGTTAGTAAGCCCCTCCCCACTCCGAGGTCCTTCCTCATTTTCTCCTTCTTGTTCTATGACATCTTACTGAACAACAGTTGCCTTGACCTCAGGAAGACAGTATTATAATAAGCTGAATTTCGAATGAAAGGGGTGCTCTGATTAGAAACATTGGCTCCCTCATGTGGTCATCAGACATTCACAAGAGCAGGAAGAAAAGCTGATCAATTAAGCCCTGTGCTGTTTATGGTTAGAGCCTTATCTGTTCTCATCAACAGGCAATTTATCACCTCCAGCTGTCTCCCTTAGTTGCAGTATGCTGACTGCTGTCAGCACAGCATGTAGGCTGTGTTTCAATGAGATTGTGCTTACAATGCAGCATTTTAAAGCTAAACCATTTCTGATTTTGCTTTGCTGTTTTGCTTTTTCAGAAAACAAAGAGTTGTGGTATGCAACAGCAGTTCAACAGCTGAATTGTTAAGGTATTGATGTAGTGGACAAGGAACAGGTAACTGGAAGCAGTAAAGGTGTCAGCCATTTTGTGCTAAAACACACCTAAACATGTATCAGAGAAGGGCTATTTCACCATGGTGGGGTTTTTGTTTTGTTTTCTTTTAAAAGAGCATTCATTATTAATGCAGGTTTGTTCTCAGGACAACAAATGAAGGTTCATGTGGTAGAGAATTTGGTTTAATTGTTTGAGTAACTTTCTCAGTTCTCTTCTTTGATTTTGCTACTAAGTCAGTCAAATAGAGGCACTGGATAATTGAAATTTACCAGAAAATGAATGCTCAATCTCCTTAATGTTTGAATATGTGATAATGATTAAAATCAGTTGAATATGTGATCATAATTAGACTCAATTTGTACCAATTTCAGCCTTCTGAAAAAGTCTGGACACTCATTTAGTATTGATTTAAAAGTCCAAACTAGATTCTGATACATATAAATCTTGCTGTCTTGTAATTAGTAGATCAGTGTCTGTACAACCCTGAAAAACTGATTAGTTATCCAATCACCTAGTTGGTTATAAAACTAGATTCATCTGCTTATTAACCACTAATTAGGCCAAGTTTGAAATTAAAGGATGATAGCCTTCCCAAGAAAGATTGGTATCCCACTGCATACTTGACAGCCAACCATATATCCATATGATAATAAATTTGCATTTACCTAATACAGATTTACTACTTAAAGACTAATGGACAGATACTTCCATTGGAGTATTAGCTCTCCTGCTGTCCCATCAACATCATCCTTTACATCTTGTGTTTCAGATCATAATTTTAGACACACACTGTCATTCATCAGGGCTCTACAGCACTTCTAGCATAACAAGCAGAATTAGCCATAAAGCAAATCAAAATTATAATATCAACATTATAAATAAACTTACTTTTCCAGCCATTTCCACTGTAAAAAACGGGAAAAATACACACTTTCTTGGTAAGCTTCAAAAGGTCTTCTGCTTAGGTATTCATGGACAACTCTAGCAACAGGAAAATAAAATCAATCTTATACTGAAAAAAATGTTGAAGCAGAAGGTGCTATCAATCTATTAATATACACTTAATCATATCAGTGAAGCTGTAGGCAGAAAAACATTGTCACTGTGCTCTACAATGGTTTCAACTTAGATGTCAAAATGAGTGCCTGTCACAGAAAACTGTTCCTGTCAAAACACTAGTGAATGCCAAACTACTGTTACTTATAGTAACTAGAAAGTTTGACCTCTGCATTCTCATTAGGTGTCTTCAAGTCCACCTAAACACCAGCCTCTCAGTAGCAATGCAATGAATATATGACCCCACAAATATGACCTCTCAAAAATATTTACGGGAAAGTATCGACAAGTTCTCATACACTCTTTGGAGACTGGCAAGCAAAATTTTATTCTAGGATTTGAAATTGAAATACTAAATGCCATATCCAAACCTGAACACCAGGTACCTTATCATTCCACTTAAACTAAACACACCAAGGGCAGGGGGCGGGAGGAAAACAAGTCATTCAAACTGTATTCAGCTATTTGTTGGACAGAGAAAAGAGGATGACCTACATGACAGATCCTCCCATTTGAGACATGTTTTACTAGGTGTTCTCACACATCAATTTCAATCTTATAATGTCAGATTGTTATAAAGTATACTTATTTTTGTTGCCAGGGAGATGACCCAAGCAGTGACAAAACATGTTGTAATCCTTCAGACATGATCAAGCATGCCTTGAAGAACCAGTAATATTAGAAACATAAAGGGTTTAGAATGACATGCAACACTGGTAAACATGTACCATCCCTCCAAGAAAAGCCTTCCGTGCTGCTGCTGTGTGAAATATCACTTCATAACTTCAGAACAAAAACAAGTTGTATTTATTTGCATTAACTATCACAATCAAACCTCTAATCAAACATCTTAATGGAATATAATTGTTGCCTTCAGTGCAACTTGTTTTCAAGAACCATAGATTTTGTAACACAGTTCAGAAACCTTCCAAGCTCCAGTTTGACTTCATATTTTTCTGAGTACCTTCATTGTAGAAAAGAAGTCACTCAAAAGGTAAGAGTAAAGAGAAATACTACCCTAACTTACAGGACACTTACTAGCAGATAATAGTGTGATTTTATGCAAAAATAACACTAAAGAAAAAGCTCTGCAAAAGTCAAACATCTAAATCACATCTGAAGGAAACCTAGTTCTTTAATAAATCTGTTCCAAATTTCTTACCTACACTCATGTCAGAGACCAATTACTCCTGAGTGTAATAACTTCACCTTTTATTTCTCTCAAACACACAAATTTCTCTTGTGGTACTAAAACTTAGCACTATGTATTTTTAACTTACCTAGTACAGTCCATAAAAAGGTCCTTAGAAGGGTTCTTCTCCAGTCTTGCTTTACATTCACTTACTGTTTCCTGAGGTATTTCTGGCAAGTGTGCTGCAGACTTTACATATTTTTTTTTAAAAAAGGCAACAATTAAAGCAATTTTGTAAATCAATGGAACAAGTAAAAGTTCTGTATTCAAAGTGAAATTAAATCTTCTAATACAGGAAAAGGAAAGGAATGGTTTGGCTAAAGAGAAAACCAAGAAAGTCATAATCAAGAAAATTTTTATTTGTTCCTTATTACAGAAAATTTACTGAAAGCTATTACAGTTATTTACTGTTTCAGTATCCGGGGAAACAAACTTGGCAATAAGACAAATTTCTTTTGCTTTCCGTAAGTCTACCATCACAAGTTACCTGTTTGGCTTGGCAGGATGGAAGGAAAGCGAAAAACACACATGAGTTGGGAAACTATTTCAAATCAACCCCCAAAAATTTGTTTTTTCTTGCAAAAACTCCTTGTGAGCTATTGTAGTCCCAAAGAAATTATGAGAAGATATGTGGCAAGCTTGGAGTCTATCTGCTTTTAAGGCATCTTTAAGACCTTCATTTGGTGTAAAGTCTTCCCAAGATGACCAAAGTAAAAAAAAGCAGAAGGAACATCTATTCATAGAAAGCAAACACCTAATTATATATCCACAGAAAAGCCTCTACTGGATACCAAAAACCAGACTCCTAAGAATCAGTCAGTAAGATCTAATATATGTAAAATATCAGCTATTAACGATCTCCATGAAAAGTACAGAGAAACAGAATGCACTAGAACAAAACAAAATGAAACACCATTTCACTTTGTGTATATCTGCAGCAATTCTGAAAATTTACAGCAAAGCAACCAAGGCCATATAGGAGTCTGAAAGAAGAACTTCAAGAATTCCTCATTCTCATATCCTCAGACTACAAAACTCTGATATTAATTTCTTAATATGTTTTCTTTAGATGCTAAATGTGTTTGTTTAAAATTGTATCTTTACTTGTGACCAATATTTAAATTAGAAAACATAAGAGAATAAATGGTAGTGGTAGTAGTCTTAAAAGCAGAGATCAGTCAAGGTTTCTGCTCAAGTTGATATGCATTTCACAATTGCAGAAGGCAGTATACCTTTCAGAAAGACAAAAATAGGACTAAGGAAGTTTGAAAGTCAATTTACTAAAAACAATACTTAGATCTCTATCTGACATTTACAAAACACTTGAGACAATATTTTGCAATACATTATATTTACCCCATTAGTGAAGTACGTCTCTAAAACTTTCAGGCCACAGTTTATACGCTTTTCATCTGAAGATACCTCATATTCTGCCTAGGGGAATGGAATTGAAAATTAAATTGCATTCAAAGCTATTTGGCACTATAGTCTTTTACATGATGCTAGGTAAATTTTATCATAAATAACACAATGCTCCTAGCATAAAAGGAACTGAAGGCACTCGTTTAAAATTTATTTAAAGATTTTTAGGCTACATAGTGAAACATGTATGAAGAACTGTCAAGAAAAAAAGCACATGGAATTCAACTTTTGGAAAACATGAAAACTAACAATTGATCTAAATCCAATTACAGAAACTGCATCCTAGAGGTTAAACAGTATTTTTGTATTACTGTAGAACAGAATGATGCAGATGGGAAACAATTAAGAGTACAATAATCATCTTTTTCTTCACTGTATTATTCTTCCTCCTTCATGTATTTTTCTTTACTTTAGTTTTAGGTAAAACTGGAATAAAACTACTACTTTCTACAAGGACATGTTAACTGGAAAGAAGTGAGATCTAAACCAAACCCTACTTCATTCTTTGCGAACATAAAACTGAGTAGATACAAAATTTCATGAAGTTTTTGGCTGAATAATATATGGCACTGTGATATAGAAAAAGACCATTGTGCAATACAGTGCATTTTGCAGATAAACAACTGGCGACTTAACAGAGCTCCAGAGATAGCTACTTATGAAAAAAAAAAAAAAAAAAAAAAATTATCAAATAGATACTAATACTGAAAATCTCCAAGATCTACTTGTAATTTACTTAACAATTTTAATGAATAATCTAGAAGCAGACATCAGAAGCTACAACATGTAGAGATAACCCAGAATCTGGCGAAAGATGAATTAGAAAAGACACATCACAAACAGCAACCTGTATTAGCTTTGTAAGCTTGGCCAACTCTGTCAAAGCTCATTTCATATCAGAATGTAAATACATGCACCTAGGAACAAAGAATATATGGCAGACCTCCGGAATGGAGGACTGTATTATACAAAACAACAGTTTGGCACATTGGTACAACAATCATGAAGATCCTCACAGGAAGTTCCAAGTGATTGATCTAATCAGAAGAGAAGTTAGGTACCTTTATAAAGAAAATTAGAACATTGAAAAATTACAGTTCAAGAACTAAACACACACACAGTTCTGGAAATAACAGAATACCTAAACTCCAGTTCTGCAATCAACTGCAACTAACCCACACTGACTCACTACAAAGTCATCAACATCTTTTTCTGTTGAGACATTATGGTAGCAACCACTTCAGCATAGTACTCAAATCCATAAACAACTGCAAGCCATTGTTTTTGCTACTTTAATCCACAACAGTCAGTCTAATGGTAAGGAGTTCTTCTGCAACTATCGAACAACCTTAGCAGGTCAGAAAAGTTCATCAACCACAGCAGCGGACTTTCCACCTTTAACATTCTCAATTAGAAGTAGTGGCTAATTTAATTAGAAGTAGTCGCTAATTTAATACAAACAGGCATACTATTTCAAGCAGATACTGTAATTTAAAAGTAAGTTGAAGAGACAGCCTTGTCAACTAATTTCTGTTACTCACAGAGTTTAAGAGGGAAGATTAGGCTGTCACCCATTCCTTTTCATACTTGAGTAACCTTGTCCCCAGCCAGTGACATGAGTCACTAGATGATGGGATAACTAATTCCTCACTTTAATTTCTGTCACTTTTATTCAACTGTTTCACAACTCTTCTTTCTATAAAGTCAAGCTGACTCCAGACTTTAAGGTCATACCTTCTCAACAGTTACAGCTTACCAGTCTTAGTATTCAGTACAGGTAGACAACACAGCATTGTACTACCTTGTTTACTCCATTTTGGCCTCGTGAAATAATCATGCTGCTGAAATCACATTGTTCCATGTAAGAGAGTCAGAAACCTCTTTTAATTAAGATGTAAAGCTCTTCAGACTACAGTATTTTATGCCAGAAAGTTTATTTTCAGAAAATTTAAGTCTAAAATGTATTTAAAATAAAAAAAATGGCAAAACCCAAGGTAAAAGCCCTACAATCTTACCCTTTCCCTTCACATTACTGCCTTACACATAAAACCAACCAAAAAACTTTCAACCCTACCCTCCACCCCAAAAAAGCTTGAACAAGCTTGCTGAAGTCCAGTCCAGAAAAGGGAATCAGGCTAACTCAGGAACCATCTGTAGAGGATAGTAGGTATTTTATCTCACTTCTTTGATCAGACAGCATTCTAGCTCTCAGATCATGAGTCACTAATTAGAGGTTATCTTAGCTCTTATGAGACATCTGTTTCAGTGATTCCTAAGCATATTTCTTCACCATGATTTTTCAAATGGAAGTTAAAAAAATAAAGAAAAAAGTAAATTGTGAAATCATCCCTTATATCAGATTATCTCAACTATGACAGTCTTTGTTGATTCACAGAAGTGTTGCAATTCACATAACATTATAGGTTGCATATTTCAAAACAAGTAAAAATGTTCAGTTAGTATTAAACACAGTTACTTCTTAGAGACCATTTCTTCTGAAAAATTACATCTATAGAGCAAAGACACACCTGCCTTACAGTCATGCCTAAGATTTTTTTTTTCTCCTTTGTGCTGCCAAAGATTCTGCTACTCCTTATCTGAGCTTTTAAGGATTAAAAATGTGTATAGAAGTTGTAACCATTAAGGGTACATTCACAGTTATCAGTGGCCTCCCCATTGTGCTATTGTCATTAAACACTCTGGTTTATGTTCACTTCAGGATATTTCACTCAGCTGTTCTCAATTTCCATTCAATCCACTGTGTCCCCAACTGTCAAACTGGTCTCTGAAATTTGGTGCTAGAACAGCTCCAAAGAGTCACAAAAGTATGGTGAAATGCACCTGGGAAGTAAGCCTAATTGCACAAAGATTCATTGACAAGTATAAGGCAATTCTACTTATTTGACACTAAAGTTCCTTTATAGCAGATCAAATGCTTTGATTTATACTCCCGTAGGGGGTAGGACAATATGGTGAAATGGGGGGCACAGCAGTAATCCCATGTACTTCCTTATACCCTGCACCTTTCTGAGCTATCTTGCATTCTGATACTGTATTTTGGGATGCATGTAGGCAGCAGCACTACCCTTCTTTCTTCTTCTACTTTCTTCACTACTACTTCTATCTTCTTTGGTCATTTATTGCCTGAATATAATAAAAAAAACAGGTGGGATGGGGAAAACTGTTCTTTTGGCAGTAATCTCAGTTTAAGACTATTTTACTGTGCTTGGATTAATATGAAGGACAAAGAATAAAAAGCTCTGGGCTTCTCTCCTCTTAAGGACTGTTGTGTGCCTGCCTACCGCTCTTCTCATAACTTTCCCCCTCCCCATGAGGGTTTTGCCTGAGGATTTGTTACAGAACATGGCTGCGAGCACACTTCCTTCCTTCTCTCATTCTTTAGCTTTAGATAGCCAGATGCAAATGTATCAAGACAAAACACTTCCTTTCCCCTTGGTCTCTAAAATCTGGTTCCTCTCCTTCCACAGATGGAATTACCATAAATTTCCATTCATTGTATTTTTTTTAATTAGCACATTCTGTATAGCCTAGGGCTTCCATGCAAGTTGCAACATTTTCAAGTCTATGTTTACAACATTTTCGAGTCTGAGTATCATAAGTAATATTCATGGTACACATATCCTTTCAGGCTCAAGAAGTCAAGCAGCATGTCTTTCTAAAAATATTTCTCTCATTCCCATCATGCCCATTTTTGTAGCCTGGACCATAATAAGATGGCAGAGATTTTATGGTAATTATTAAACATCTGCCTTTAAGTAACAGAGCCAGAGTGTTTTGACATTCATCAAAAGTTACAGCTTTACAATTAGCAAAGAGTAAATTGCACTACATTTTCATCTAGTCAGCATTAGTGAACAGATGCGTTTAGAGAAAATGAAAATTCTATAGATTTGTTGTGTGTTAACCCTGGTAGGCAGCTATGCTCCACACAGCCACTTGCTCACTCCCCCCAGTGATAATCAGAAGGGTAGAAGTGAGAAAACTTGTGGGTTGAAATAAAGACAGTTTAATAGATAAAGCAAAGCTGCACGCACAAGCAAAGCAAAATAAGAAATTAATTCCCTTCTTCCCATCAGCAGGCAGATGTTTAACCATTTCCAGGAAAGCACGGCTTCATCATCATGTGTAACAGCTACTTGGCAGGACAAACATTGTAACTCTAACCTCCCACCTTCCTCCTCCTTTCCTCCTCCTTTTATTGCTGAGCATGGTGTCACATGGCATGGGCTATCCCTTTGGTCAGCTGGGGGTCAGCTGTCCCAGCTATGTCCCCTCCCAGCTGCTTGTGCACCCTCAGCCTCCTCGCTGGTGGGGTGGGATGAGAGGCAGAAAAAGCCTTGACGCTGTGGAATCACTGTTCAGCCATAACTAAAACATCCTTGTTATCAACACTGTTTTGGTCAAAAATCTGAAACATTGCACAGCATGAGCTACAATGAAAAAAAATTAACACTATCCCACCCAAAACAATCACAAAAATCAACCTTTTTACAAACAAAAATGTATAAGCTATCACCTACTGATATCCATCTCTAATTTCTCACTGCTTACCACTGAATCCAGAAATTCAATGCATCTTTTCAAATCTGGTCTGGAATCACAGAACTGTCTGAAGAGAAGTCTTCCTATTGGCTGTTTGTCACAAAGCTGGTTATAGTCCCTTTCTGAGAAAGAAATAGTAAGTAAGTATCTTTATTTTTATCTTTCTCGTAGCATGGTCCTTACTTCCATTTGAGAATAGGTCAGAAAAACATCACTAAAATGTGAAGATTTTACATTAACATATTTAGCAAAGACATCAAAAACATGCAATGATCCCAAAGAACAGTGAAACACTCACTTCCGGCCACATTTGTCTCTTATAGACTATCACTTTTATTAAAAACACATTGAATGATATGGTTAAGTCTCGTTTAGGTTGGGGGGCAGAAAGCAACAATACTATGAAATAGCAATCCCAAAGTAAACAAGATTGTTTAGAAAGAATACAAAATAATAACAAAAAAAGGTAAAAAAAAATATTACAAGACATTAAGAAAGAAGTGAAATATATTACCATGTCATTCAAATTACAACATGATTCCTTTTTCTAATTTACGGCTTTGTAAATTTATCTTTTAGGAGCAGTTTCTTTTAACAAACAAGGAGCTGTGATACAGCTTTTATCTTTTCATAAAGTCTCCATCACATTAAAAGTTTAATAGCTTTTTTTGCTAATTAGCATTCAGAAGCAAGAGAGAACCCTTTCCGTTAACACCACCAAACTCTTACCCTTCTCAAAAAAAATCAGATGGACCGTTCTACAGGACACCTACCGATTGAGCGTCTAATACCTTCACAGTGACTAACAGGTGGCAACTTCAGCATCTCTTTCCATTTTTTACTACGCCCACTCCGTTTGCCTAGAAGATAGATATGAGTAATGTCAATCACAGTACTGTATCAGGACAAAATTAAATGTAACATTAACAGCATAAAATTAGGTCGCTCCTGCAGAGATCTGTCAGACTGCTTTTCATGCCTAGAAAGAAATCCATCTACAAGGATACCCAAATTAACAACAAAGTTGATATAGAAGAACTTTCATATGAAACACTAAAAAATGCCGTAAGATTTTTGCAAGACTAATATTTCATATTTTGGCTGTGCATATAGAATATCTCTGCAGAGACAAGGCAAATATCTAGGATTCTGAAAATTACAAACAAAACTGAAACATCAAAACCACAAACAAAAAAAAAAAAAAAAAAAAAAGAGAATTATCTTTCAACCATAGTGAAGAACAGAAGACATTGAAGTTGAGTAACAAAATACATAGAGCAAAGTGCTTAAAACACATTTTTGGATAATCACGTTGTACGCAAGCATTCTCCTTTTTTAAAGGACAGTAATAGCAATAAGAGTAGACCCCACTAATAAATGAGTGGGCATTGCACAAATACACACCATTTATTCTAGACTATATGAGGATACAGGATATCAGGAAAAATTTAGCTGCTGTAGGATTCGGATCTTTTCAGTGCTTCAGATTTCACAGCACTAGTATTAAACTGATTTTTAAAGAGTACTACAGTATTTCCCCCATTGTTACTCAGAAAATATAGCTGATCCATTCCCTATGTTAAACTGGAATTTTAGCACATTATTTTCACCTGAAGAAGTCAATTACATTTACAGAATATATGCATACTTATCAAAAAACCCAAAGAGATAGATACAGGAATGTATATATATTTTTAATTGCAAAACCTTTCAGTGGAAGAGTAATTTTTGTGCTGCAAAATATTTTAAGAGATTTTACAAAGTGATATGGCCAGATGCATTTCCACATGACAGAACACTAGCAAAACTGCACAGAAATCTTTTAACTGTACCAAAGCAGTACATACTGTTAACCACAATGGGAGAGAAAGGAAGGGAGTTACCCTATGTAACCCGAATAGAAACCAAGCAGCAAACAGTACTCAAGTCTTTCAGAATTATGTTGTTAGGAAGAAAGGAACTAACATCTTCTGAATAAGAAAATCTGTATTAAAAATAACACTCCACTCAAACACACAGCTTCTTGACCCATTCTGCCATTGCAGTCAGAGCAGTTGCAGCTTAGTGTACCTTCGTTCCTATCAAATTGACACTATCTTTGCTAACAGGAACACTGACACCTCACTCTGCTGCTTCAACAAAATAACCTCAACTCTAGTATCACTAGAAAAGTAAACAAATAAGGAATACAAAGCCTTTCAAAGTTGGCTTGCAGAGATTCTTTGAACTGATACCTACTCTCTAAAATACCTTCCTCTGCACTTCATTTCCTAATGTTGCTTTGTAAGTCATTCCCTTCCAAAATATTTTAGAATACAAATATATCAAATCTACTTCTCCCTCATACTTCATGTAGTACGAGAACTAATCATAAAGCTGTAATTACCAGTATCATTAAAACAAACTCAAATTACTTTAACAAAATATTTTTGATGCTAAGAAGTTGAATATATGCTTGAAGAAAATCAAACCACATGGAGCAAAGGGCATTTCTAACAGCATTGAACACAAATGAAATCAAGGAATACTAGGACTGGGTATAGATTATTATGTGATCATGAAAAACAGTGGACAGAAGCGTCAACTCGACTTTTAACCATGCAACTGGAAAATACACTAAGCTGCAAGGTCCACTGAAATTAAATTTCTCCTGTTAGAAAGTGTTCAGAAAGACTCTCATTTGTGCATGACACAGTACAGTCAATATTGACCAAGAATGATAAACTGACCCAAATTCATACCACAATGCTGTTTGGAAAAAGTAAAACTGAACTGTGAACCAAATATATCATCTTCTGAAGTACAGTCAAAGAAAGAAAGGGAAAAAAAATAAACAACATAAAACAAACAACAACAACAAAAAAGGAGGATCACTGGTGCATTTTATTTCAAGTTCAATACAAGAATGTCTGCTCTACTTTGACCCAAATACTTGGCCAGTTATTTACAATGTGACCATTATGAACTTTATTTTATGAATTTTATTTTATCCATCCTATAGAAGTCAATAAAGACTACATGCAATTTATTAATGATACACAAGAATCAAGTGCTTAAGAATATCAATTAAATTAACATGCTCTCTCTTTTCTCTGAACTGGTTGTTTATATTTACAGCAAAAGCATAGAAAAAGTCTGTATGTCCCAGTAATGTAAAGAGAGTGCATGATCTACACCATTTACAGATAAATTAGCCACTTCTGGTAAAAGTTATCGGAAGAGGCCATATTATTCCCTGACTGCAAAATCCTTTTCCATTTCTGAGGCAGTTTAAAAGAAGTATCAAATCAAATTATAATAGTTGTGGTTTGTAAGTGTCTTAATATTGATTTCAGAGCTTCTATTCTGGATCTCATTCTAAAATACTTCAGATAAAATTCTTCCAGAAAGAGCAACAGCTTACTTTCCAACACAGAGGCAACAAAGCCATTAGGTTAATCTGCTTTATGGTTGACCTATGTGGTTCAGATGAATTACCGCTTTTGCCTCTTTCTGATGTAATTGCTGGCTAGAACAATGTCCAACTTGAAGCAACTCATCTTTTACAAAGAGAAGGGTGGATGCAGCAATACACCATTACAACGAGGAAACACTGCAATTACATTTTCATGTACATGAGAACCTTACCTTCTCCTCCACAAACTACTTCTTAGAGTTTTAATTTCAGAATCTCTCTCTTTATATGTTTTCCCTTCTTAAAAAGATGTGTACTGAACTCAGCTAGGTCATTGCATTACAGTATGGTACGGGAAAGATGTTTTAATTTTTCAACTTTTTTTTTAAACTTCAGAGAAACATTTGAAAAACTTAAGGCAAGGTGGTTGGCTTATTCATCAGTAAAAACAGAACTAGTTGCAAAAAGAGAAACTGCTGTCACAAAACAAAGCAATCTGGTGTAGAAACAGATATAGACAAATGAAAATATTTTTCAAGTCATCAGATGGACTTCCCACAGCCGCAGTGATCTTCCTTACAGAGAGGATTTGTAGCACGACTCTCATTACACTGAGCTCAAGCGTTCACTCAACATTATTAGTCAGTCTTCCTTGAGACTGAAAACTTGGATTCTGTCCAACAGAATGCAAATAGTGAAAAGCATCGTACTGTCTCTGGCTGGTAAATGTACACAGACTATACGTGGTAAGATTCGGTGGCTACTACACTGATATTAAGATTCTGCTTTAGCTTTTCTGCCTCTAAAGGGCAAGCAATGGATCTCTGTGGTTGAGAAGCACACAGCTATGTAGCACTAGGGGTGCATGATTGCTACAACATCATTCTTGCAAAACTGATTCCACAAACCAGACTCAGATACCAGCTGAGAAATTCATACCAGACCACACCCAGATAAGCTCTGAAAGCACAAAACTGCAACAATAAGACAACCTACAACATGCCTTTAACTGTATAAATCAATCAAATGGTTCCATGAAAGATGCAAAAGAACTGATGCAGAAGCTCTACATCATCTACACTGAGATGCATGAGAATTACCAGGTACATACACTGTCTTACAATTCATCTTCCCCACAGCAGAGACAGTTGCAGGCAAGTTTCCCAACAGATTTTAAACTCAGATGAATTCAAATCTTCTACTTACAGACACATTTTCCTTCAAACAACTCACAATAAGGATTAAAAACTTTCACCGAAAAAACAGTGTGTTCCTGTTTAACTATGGCCTTATGCTATAAAAACATTTGTAAACACTGCCCACTAAGTAACAAACGTTGATGGTATGCTCTTACTGTGCAAGATCCATCTTCAAGACAGAGAACACTGTGGAATTTATAGTTCAAGTCCTCAGAAGTACCACTAACTTCAGGCCGGGACACAAGTTCACACACACCATCACCTGAGGAAGGCTATCGTGCTTGCAGTTCTAGAGAGAGCTCACTCACACAGTACTGCTTTGTGGGGTCTCTGCAACCTTCACTGCATAGGTCAGATACATTTTTTGACATCTCAGTTCTTTGAAAAACAAGGCTGGTCACAGCTGAACAACTAGGCTTAACAGAGTGGCATCTCTTTTATATGGAGAAAGATTTCTTTTTTTCCAACAAGTATGATATATATAATCTGGCTGGCTCCCAGCAGATTTACCAGAACCACCTAGTTGAAAATTCAGTTTCAGTGCAAGGTAGGCACCTAACTTCAGCATTATAAAGGCCAAGGCACATCTGAACACAAACAAGCAAAAATGCAAGCAGTTCAATAAACACATAAAAGATACCTATAGATTACAGATTGTTATGGCATTTTAAAAATAATATTCCTCACATGATTCAAGTGCCTAGAGTTGGACTTCAGCAAGCTAATGCTCGAGTCCTCTTGTTCATCTGACTGTTAGAGCAGTAACACTGTAAGCAGTTAAAAACCCCAGGTACCTGTGTGAACATCTGTGCAGTTTGTTTATATCCACAATCATTTATTGTTCCCACTGCTATAACCACTTGAACAACTGGTTCTTCACATCAGCTCTATATATAATTCCAGTAATCATGTGCACATTTAAGAATGCTAAAACATACAGGCTGAACAGCTTCTGCACTTCTTCAGAAATTAGGTTTGAAAGACTTGAATCAACTCAAGTAAATATAACTAATCTGAACTAGAATTTATTAGTTTAATCTTGCAGTCATACAATGTAATATCTGTATATACATTTCATTTTAACATGTCTAGAACAACTTAACAGACAAGGTCTACTAGAGAAAAAAACAACCCAACAGTAAGAAAACTCCAATTTTACAGATGACTCCTTGACAAACAAGTATTTTTTTATCATGACGGTACATCAAGACTGCAGCAGATAGAAAAGAATTAAAATTCCTTTAAGTAGATTGTGAAACCTGTAGTT